TCCCAAGGTATTTTATATTATTTGTGGCTATTGTAAAGGGTGATGTTTCTCTGACTTCTTTCTCATCCCTTTTATCATTTGTGTATAGGAGGGCTACTGATTTTTTTTGAGTTGATCTTGTATCCTGCCACTTTACTGAAGGATTCAGCTGTAGGAGTTCCCTGGTAGAATTTTTGGGGTCACTTATGTATACTATCATATCATCTGCAAATAGTGAAAGTTTAACTTCTTCCTTTCCAATTTGTATCCCCTTGATCTCCTTTTGTTGTCTTATTGCTCTAGCTAGAACTTCAAGTACTATATTGAGTAAATATGGAGAGAGTGGACAGCCTTGTCTTGTTCCTGACTTTAGTGGAATCGCTTTGAGTTTCTCTCTGTTTAATTTGATGGTGGCTGTTGGCTTGCTGTAAATTGCCTTTATTATGTTTAGGAATGTTCCTTGTATGAAGGGGTGTTGGATTTTGTCAAAGGCTTTTTCAGCACTAATGAGATGATTATGTGGTTTTTTTTCTTTCAGTTTGTTTATATGGTGTATTACATTGACAGATTTTCATATGTTGAACCATCCTTGCATTCCTGGGATGAAACCTACTTGATCATGGTGGATAATTTTTTTGATGTGTTCTTGGATTCGATTTGCCTATTTTGTTGAGTATTTTTGCATGAGGGAGATTGGTCTGTAATTCTCTTTCTTTGTTGCATCTTTGTGTGGTTTGGGTATCAGGGTAATTGTAGCCTCATAAAAAGAGTTTGGTAATGTTCCTTCTGTTTCTATTGTGTGGAACAATTTGAAGAGTATTGGAATTAGTTCTTTGAAAATCAGGTAGAATTCTGCACTGAGACCATCTGGTCCTGGGCTTTTTTTGGTTGGGAGACTTTTGATGACTGTTTCTATTTCTTTAGGGGTTATTGGTCTATTTAAATAGTTTATCTGGTCATGATTTAACTTTGATATGTGGTATCTATCCAGAAAATTGTCCATTTTTTCCAGATTTTCCAATTTTGTGGAGTACAGGTTTTTGAAGTATGACCTGATGAGTCACTGGATTTCCTCGTTATCTGTTGTTATGTCTCCCTTTTCATTTCTTATTTTGATAATTTGGGTACTCTCTCTTTGCATTTTGGTTAATTTGGCTAGGGGTTTGTCTGTGTTGTTGATTTTTTTTCAAAGAACCAACTCTTTGTTTCATTAATTTTTTTTTTTATTGTTCTCTTGGTTTCTATTTCATTGATTTCAGCTCTCAATTTGATTATTTCCTGGTGTTTATTTCTCCTGGGTGAGTTTGTTTCTTTTTGTTCTAGAGCTTTCAGTTGTGCTGTTAATTCATTGGTATGAGATTTCTCCATCTTCTTTATGTGTGCATTTAGTGCTATGAATTTTCCTCTTGGCACTGCTGTCATAGTGTCCCATAAGTTTGGGCATGTTGTATTTTCATTTTCATTGAATTCTAGGAAATCTTTAATTTCTTTCTTTATTTCTTCCTTGACCAATTGATGTTTCAGGTGGGCATTATTCTGTTTCCATGAGATTGTAGGCTTTCTATAATTTTTGTTGTTGTTGAAATCTAACTTTAAGGCATGGTGGTCCGATAAGATACAGGAGGTTATTCCAATGTTTTTGTATCCCAACAGTTAATTTTAAGCTGTCATGGAATCTCCTGCCAAGGAAATCAGTCCAGAGCTTTTCAGATTGGCTTGAGGCATATTTCTTAGGACACGGACAAAAAGCAGCCACAGTTTTTGCCCAAGTTTCACAAGAGTGGTCTCCGGTCCAGTTGCTAGTATTGTTCCCCTCTGAAACCTCATCATCTGAACCTCCAATAGTCTACATTGGTCTCAGCAATACTGTCTTCCAAGATCCTACTAGGATAGTCTGTTAAGCCACACTGACAGCATTCACCTTCATTCTTGGTCCATAATCTTCCAAAGAGTAGCATGGTCAATATTATTATTGATTTTCAATACCCCACTCCTGGTACCAATTTTTCTTAGTTACTTCTCTATTGCTATGGTAAGAAACAATAACTAAAGCAGTTTATTAAAAGAAAGTGTTTATTTGGGGCTTACAGTTTCAGAGGTTTAGAGTCCATGACCATCATGGTGGCGAAGCATGCAAGCCTATAGGCAGGAATTATACTGGAAGAGGCAAAGAGGGCTAACCTGGAATGTTTTGGACTTTTGGAACTTTAAAGCCCATACATATCCAGTGACACGTCTCCTCCAATAAACCTACACATAATCCCAAATGTTTCCACTAACTGGGGACCAAGTATTCAAACATATGAGCCTATTGGGCCCATTCTCGTTCAAACCACCACTCAGGTGTTTTGTTTTTGCTGCTTTTTTTTTTTTTAACCTTTTCAAGTGAGTACTCTCTGCATTTAAGTCTGCATGCCAGAAGAGGGCATTAGATCCCATTACAGATGGATATGAGCAACCATGTGGTTGCTGGAAATTGAACTCAGGTCCTCTAGAAGAGCAGCCAGCACTCTTAACCTCTGAGCCGTCTCTCTAGCCTGCCTTGAGTCATGGAGCCCTTGTTGACTTCAAACTGGCTGTGTATCCAAGGATAACAAAGTCCTAATCATTTTGCCTTCATTTGTTCCTGAGTGTTGGAATTACAGGCCTGTTGTGTCACCATGCTTGGATTTTATGCAGTACTGGGGGTTAAAGTTGAAGCTGTTTGCATAATAGGCAAGCACTCTACAAACTGTGTTTTATCACCAGCGGTGCAACACCACTAAATGAGTTAATCAAAGAATCACTTCAGTCTTATTTAATCTGTCAAAAAGCATCTGTGATGAATCCACAGATAACATCATACTTTGTGATGAGGAGCTGGAAGTTTTCCCTTCTAAATTAGGAACAAGGTGACTCCTTGCTTCTTTTATTCAACATTGTACCAAAGGATCTTGTGTGGATAGTTAGATATGAAAGTAAACTAAAAGTATAGAGATTAGAAAGAATGAAAAACTTTTAGTCTTTTAAAAATAAAGTACTAGCAGGTACAAAATTGTAAGAAGTCCCTAAAAATGAAAGATCAACTCAAAATCATCAAAGTTAAAAGATAAAAGATTAGCATATAGAAATATCCCTCAGTCTATAGTGATTGAACTTAAATCTTTTTAAAATTTACACTGGGTTTGTTGGACTTAAGTTTTCCAGCTTTAATCCAGTATAGTAGCACACATGAAACTCTGGGTTTGATTCCTGGCACCTCCTAAAACTAGGCCTCTATTTAGTAAATATCTGGAGTCTCAGAATTGAGGAGAACATCAACAGTTAGCTCCATAGTAAGTTCAAGACCAGTCTGACTACATCAGTCTCTGTCTCACAGAGTCAAGGACTGAAAAAAAATTTGGGCAGCTTTAAACATGAGCTTATTTGGGGTTTTAAGTGCATTTCAACTTGAATTTATTAGGCTATAACCCCATTCATCATGGAACATCAGGACTTTAAATGAAGAGTCCAAAAAAGATGTTAAGAGCTCGTATATAGTAGTATCATAAAAAAAAAAGTACAAGGCAGGAGGATGGCTCAGTTGCTACCTTATTTCCCCAGGACCTGAGTTCAACCCCCAGCTCCCATGTTAAAATGATGGGAGTGGTGGTGCATGCTTGTAATCCAGGAATGGAGAAGAGAGACTGGAGGAGTCTGATTCTCTCAGCCAGTCTATCCTGTGGATTTCTCTTGTAGCTAAGATTGCCAGTCTGGTGTCAGCATGTCTACCTGTTCTGTGCCTGAGGTTTCTTCCCTACTGGGGAGCTAGGTTAGATATGTACAGTGTTTGCTACTTTTCTACATCAACTTTCTCCATGCACTTGATTTTTAGTGGAATATATGGACATATTTTTATTATTATATTTATTTATTATGCCTTAGAGCTTTCTACAGAAATAAGATTTGCCCACTTCAAACAGGTCTGATTTCCCGGGCGGTGGTGGTGCACGCCTTTAATCCCAGCACTCGGGAGGCAGAGGCAGGTGGATCTCTGTGAGTTCGAGGCCAGCCTGGTCTACAGAGTGAGTTCCAGGACAGGCTACACAGAGAAACCCTGTGTAGCTAGAGTTTTCCTGCCTGGCCCAAAGTCAGGACAAATCTCTCTCACCCGCCAGTCCCACAGCTGCTCAGACCCGACCAAGTAAACACAGAGACTTATATTGGTTACAAACTGTATGGCCGTGGCAGGCTTCTTGCTAACTGTTCCTACAGCTCAAATTAATCCATCTCTATAAATCTATACCTTGCCACGTGGCTCGTGGCTTACCGGCATCTTCACACGCTGTTTCTCATCGTGGTGGCTGGCAGTGTCTCTCTGACTCAGCCTTCCACTTCCCAGCTTTATTCTCCTCCTTGTCCCGCCTACACTTCCTGCCTAGCCAATGGCCAATCAGTGTTTTATTTATTGACCAATCAGCAACACATTTGTCATACAGAACATCCCACAGCACCCTGTCTCAAAAAAACAAAAACAAAAACAAACAAACAAAAAAAGGTCTGATTTTTTTCCCAAAACTTTAGCCATTCATGTTTATACATGTGATCCATCTAGTGTTACTTTGCTATTGTTTCTGTTACCTATTATTTTGGAATTGATTTTAAGATAAGGTGTGAGGTAAAAAGTAAAGTATGTTTTTTCTGCATACACCTATCTAGTAAACTTGAATCCTATATAATCCTTTATAATACCAGTCTTTTTCTCCTTTATCCAGATAATACTTTTGAGACAAGTTAAATAGTTGTATGTGAAGCTCTTTCCGGTTTCAAGCCTGTCCTGTCAGTCCCTCTGTCTTCATTATAGTACGACCTGCTATTTAAAATCTTGGCTGTAATTATTTCTGTTTAGAATATAACTTCCAAGTAGAAATAATTAATATGGAGAGATAGTCTTGGTATTAGTTTAATATTATTATAACTATTTAACTGGGGAAATGCATTTAAATCTGTTTTTTGAGGCAAAGTATCATGTTAAATATATCTTAAATTCTAGGATACAAAATATGGAAAGTCCAGACAGGAAAAGACAGAAAGTTTTAAAGGCCAAAAAAACAATGCCTACAAGTTGCCGGAAGCAGTTGGAGATCCTGAACAAGTCAAAGAATGTTGAAGCTTCAAAATCAACAGTTGGAACTAATATTCCAAATGGTAATCTGAGCTTATAGCTAGCAAGTGTGCACATTCTGGAATGTTGATTCCTCTTTTACTGTAATGGTAATTCAATATTTTCACAGGAAAGTATAGCATTCTTCCAGGATTTAATTCAAGCAGTAGAAGAAAATGTTTAGAAACAAGATCAGGAACCACTGAAGGACAGGTTGTAAATGTCCTTACACAAAGGCAAGCCATCTCCTGACTCCTCCCGCAAATACTCCACACAGTCAACTTATGCCTCTGTGTCTTTTGGAGAAATTCAAATAGTCACTTTCCTTAGGGGTATTTGAAGGTCTCCAACACACAAAAAAGTAGAGTACACATAGATAGGACAAAAGTAAATGATGGCTATGTTTTAAACGGTTTTGTTTGTGAATTGTTCTTGATTGTGAGATGGAAAGATACATTGTTAAAGCAGAAAATTATGGTTAATCACTGAAATTATTGGCTTTATTTGCAGTGCTAGAACTGGGCAACAGGTAAGACCAAATACTGTTCAAAAGAGCTCTTTTCTGAGGCCGGGGGTATATGTAGCTCAATTGGTAGTGTGGACAAAGCAGTCCCCAGCACCACATAAAGCTGGCCATTGTGGCACGTGCTTGCCTGTAATCCAGAGTACTAAACAGGTAGAGACAGAAGGATCATAAATTCAAGGTCATCCTCAGCTACAAAGCAAATTTGAGGCCAGATTAGGCTACATGAGACCCCGTATCTAAACAACAACAAACCTTCCTATCATGTGGGCAGATTAAAATTATAGGAAGTGAAATACAGAGAAGCAGCAGCCTGATTGGTTAGTGTGTCTGTTTTACTTGGTCATTTAAACACCTCTGAGTTTTGAAAGTTTATTTCCATAAAAGTATGTTACAGGGGCTTAGTGGTTAAGAGCACTGGTTGCTCTTTTGGAGAACCCAGATTTGATTCCCAACACCCATATATTGGCTCACAACCATCTATAACTCCAGTTTTGGAAGATCGGATGCCCTTTTCAGGCCTCCCAGGGCATCAGGCATGTACACGATACAGTCAGGCCAAAAAAAAAAAGTAAGCCACAGTCTGTTTAAACATCAAGTTAAGGGGCAGGAGAGATGGCTCATCGGTTAAGAACACTGGTGGTTCTTCCAGAGGTCCTGAGTTCAATTCCCAGCAACCACATGGTGGCTCACAACCGTCCATAATGAGATCTTGTGCCCTCTTCTGGCCTGCAAGCATGCATGTAGGCAGAACACTGTATACATAATAAATAAACAAATCTTTAAACATCAAGTTAAAATTACAGTTTACCACATACAGAAAGATGTTGACGCCAAACTACAAATAAGTGTGCAAGGAGCCTTAGGTCACACTTTATTCAATTTAATGCTATCCAATATATCAAAAGGAAAGTGAAATATTACCCAAAAAAGGTAATTACTTTCCCATGTGAGGACAGAAAATCTCAAAAAGAAGTTTATGGAAGATGATTTATTTTAACTATATCTCTTGTTATTTTTAAGTTTTGTTTAATAGATTATAGATTTTTATTAACATTTATTAATTATATATAATGGGTTTCATTATGAGATTTTCATATATGCAGAAAGTATTTTGATCATATTTGCCTTCTACCCATTACCATCTCTTATGTGAATCCCAGCACAGCAAAAGAGGGAAAGGATTAACCAAGTAATCCTTCTTCTATCTTCATGGGTGTTTGTTTGCTTGTTGTGACCCAGTGAGTTTAATTACTGTTGATTAAAGGAACATTGGTATCTTACTAGTGGATACACCAGTAAATTAAATGTCTCCCCCTCCCTCTGTAAACATTAACTGCCGATAGCTCCTTGGGAGGTGGAGCTTTGTAAGTCCCCCTAGAGAACAGGTACATTAAGTTGTTGGTGAATCTATTTATTTGCATAGAATTGATTTATAGAGCATATGCTAAATAAGAGATAGATGCAGTTCATTCATATGCCCAACTACAGAGAGCTACTTGGAGAGAAACCAAGTAATTAAAAAAGGAAGAGCTGGAGTTGTAAAATCATTAAATAACAAAATAAATATCATTAGAAGTAGGATCTTTATGTTGGTTGATTAAAATGCTGATTAGGACTAGCAAAATGGATCAGCAGATAAAGGTGCTGTCTTCAAAGCCTGGTGCCTGGAACCCACATAAAGGTGGAAGAAGAGAACTGACTTCACAAAGAGGTCCTCTGACCTCCACACTCAATGTCATGGCATTCACAGACACACATTATGTACAATGTACACATGCCCACACTAGTAGAATCTTTTGTTTATGTGCAGACTACATAATAATAATTTTAAAGTTAATTTAAATTGCTGAATAACTTCATCGAAGTAATGGATTCCTTAAGTGACTATATATAGAGAGGCTTACATTATACAATTTATTTAGGGTTTCGCTTTATGTTTTGTTTGTTTGTTTTATGTGTTTGGAAGGCTTTGTTGTTTTTTCATGTTTTTGTTTTGGTGAGATAGGGTCTCACTCACTATACAGCCCAGTCTGGCCTTGAATTCTTGATTCTCTTACCACCTTCCAAATGCTATAATTTGAACTATGTGCCTCCTTGCCCAGTGGTTATCCCTGTGAAACAAGACTGAAAAGGGTTTATATCTGAGACCAGAATCCTACCTAAGATTTCTTTTTTAAAGAACATATGGAAATGTTTTTATGCAGTTGCATTCACTTTAAATATACATTTCTTTAAGATAGGGTCTGGCTATATAGTGCTGGGTGGCCTTGAACCCACAGAGTTCTACCTGACCCTACCTCCTGAGTGCTGGGATTAAAGTCATGCACCACCATGCCCAGCTTAAAAAAATTATTAATTAAATTTTTTTGAGTACTACTGTTGTCACATATTTTATTTTTTCCACTTGATTAGACTCCTTGAATTAGAGTGTTTATCTCCTTCTTAAGGAGTACTTTATGGGCTGGAGAGATGGCTCAGAGGTTAAGAGCACTGACTGCTCTTCCAGGGGTCCTGAGTTCAATTCCCAGCAACCACATGGTGGCTCATAACTATCTGTAATGAGATCTGGGGTGGCCTGCAAGGACACATGCAGGCATAATACTGTATACATAATAAATAAATAAATCAAAAAAAAAAAAGAAAAAGAAGGAATACTTTTACCTGTAATCTTTCTATCTCCTCTAGGCTATGATCAGAAGATGTTTTCAGAAAACAAAGAAAATGTTAAGCTCATGAAAGCTTCAGAGCAAATTAATGAAAATGGTTGTGTAGCTCTGGAAAGGCATACAGCACTGCTAGAACAGGTAATGTTGGGCTTAAAATATTCTCTTTAGGAACTTACACTTCTGATTAGTAAAAAATGTTGAAAGGGCAAGAGAGAGAGAGCGCGCGAGCAGAAGTTAAGAGCACTTGCAAAGCTGAGTTCAGTTCCGAGCACCCACTTCTGGTGGATCATAACCTATAACTCTAGCTTGGGGGATCTGATACCTCTTCCCTCCATGGAACATACCTCAAAACACACATACACCTTTACAGTATGTCTTAGTTAGGATTATTATTGTGATGAAACACCATGACCAAAAGCAGCTTGGGAGGAAAGAGTTTCTTTGGCTTATACTTTGATATCCTAGTTCATCATCCAGGAAAGTAGTCAGGGCAGGAACCTGGAGGCAGGAGCTGATGCAGAGTCCATGGAGTGGTACTGTGTACTGGCTTGCTTCACATGGCTTACTTAGCCTTCTTTCTTTCTTTTTTTTTGGGGTAGGGGGGCAGGTTTCCAGTTGGGGTTTCTCTGCATATCCATGGCTATCCTGGAACTCACGCTATAGACCAGGCTGGCCTCAAACTCACAGAGACCCACCTGCCTCTGCCTCTGAGTGCTAGGATTAAAGGTGTGTGCCACCATCACCCGGCAGCCTCTTTCTTACAGAACCCAGGACCACTAGTTGAGGGATGGCCTAACCCGTAATGGACTGGTCTCTCCTCTGTGGATCACCAGTTAAGAAAATCCCATTCAGGCTTGCTTGCCTACAACTTCATTTTATGGAAACATTTTCTCACTTGAGAGGCCCTCAGATTCTAGGTAGCTTGTTTCCAGTTGACATAAACTAGCTAGGTCATAATGTAAGCAAAAACATTAAGAGTTAAATTATTTATCTTACCAATATATTTATATTTTCTGGAGTGATTCTAGACCAAATAATCTACAGAATTACATATCTGTAAATGTCTTATAGAAAGAGATAGATTTTTTAAATTAATAAGCTGCCAAATGTCTAAGTCAAACATGGGATGATCTTGAGCTTTACTTGACAATCCAACATTTTGTATTGGTCATGGGGTTTCTTGGTCACCGGCAATAGCTGTTTATTTATCACATCACAGTTACTATTTCATAAACTCATTTTTGAGTCTTAATACATTCAGTTACATAGTCCTCTTCCAAACTAATGTAAGTATACTGCTTTTTATAACACTATTAAATATACTTATTGCTTTCATTTTTGTCCAATTATTTGTTTCTTTATGGTCCATCTGTCTGATCAACTAGGAATTGAAATATAATCTTCCAGGCTAGGTGGTACACGCCTTTAATCCCAGCACTCGGGAGAGGCGGAGGCAGGTAGATCTCAGAGTTTGAGGCCAGCCTGGTTTCTAGAGCAAGTTCCAGGACAACCATGCAGGACTATACAGAGAAACCCTATTTCAAAAAACAAAACAAAAGACAAAAAAGGGAAGAAATATAATCTTCAGTTCTAGTAGAATAACTGTACTCTGTTGTTTTGATGGGTCTGATTGTAATTCATTATGGTTATTGTGTTATTCAGTTGGTATATACTGTGCTTAATATACATTATGAAAACAGTAGTCAACTGGAACTATATGAATTGTAGTCATTCTTTTGAAGATGAACTTAATTTTAACATGTTTATTTTTGTTTTTTTTTTTTAGATTTATGTAGTCATTATTTTGAAGATGAACTTAATTTTAACATGTTTATTTTTGTTTTTTTTTTTTAGATTTATTTATTTATTATGTATACAGAAGAGGGTACCAGATCTCATTACAGATGGTTGTGAGCCACCATGTGGTTGCTGGGAATTGAACTCAGGACCTCTGGAAGAGCAGTCAGTGCTCTTAACCTCTGAGCTATCTCTCTAGCCCCTATTTTTGTTTTAAATATTAGATGCACTGTGCAAAATTTAATGTTCAGTTTTTATAATACTGGTATAGGAATATGTAGCAGTTTGTCATTATAAAACATCAGGAAGGCTGGACGGTGGTGGTATATGCCTTTTATCCCAGCACTTCGGAGGCAGAGGCAGGTAGATCCCTGTGAATTGGAGGCCAGCATAGTCTACAAAGTAAGTTCCAGGACAGCCAGGGCTGTTACACAGAGAAACCCTGTCTCAAAAACAAACAAACAAAAAAATTAGGAAAGAGTAAAGCAATTTTTAAGCAGTAGAAAATAAGCTGGGCTTGGAGGTACACACCTTTAATCCAGCACCTGGGGTACAAAGGCATGTGCATCTCTTTGAAGTCTAGGATAGTCTGGTCTACAGACTAGCTGAGGCTACATAGTAAAAAATATTGTCTCAAAAAAAGTAGGAGTGGACTGGAGAGATGGTTCAGATTTTAAGAACAATGTCTCTTCTTCTAGAGGGCCCTGGTTCAAGTCCCAGAACCCACATGCTATCTCATAACTATCTGTAACTCCATTTCCAGGAGTTCTGATGCCCTCTTCTGGCCCCTGTGCATGGTGCACATACCTACATTCAGGCAAAACATTAATACACATAAAAATTAAAAGCAGGAAGTAAAATTGTTTTGAAATTTGAAACTGGCATGTTTTGGCTTTTATTTAAATTCTAGGTTAAACATTGGATCCGACAGGAAATCTACATGATAAATTGTAATCTATTCGATAAAAAACTGAATGAACTGAATGAACGCATTGGGAAGACCCAGTGTAAGAATAAGCATGAAGCAATAGCTGGTGAACTCTTTGTAAGTTTCTAATTTTATTTCTTCCTTTTATTATATGTGGAGTGTGGTCATATTCTCTATGTTATAAACAGTGGTTCTCAACCTTCCCAATGCTGCAACCCTTTAATACAGTTCCTCATGTTGTGCTGACCCCCAGCCATAAGATTACTTTTGTTGCTACCTCATAACTGTAATTTTGTTACTGTTATGAATCGTCATATAAATATCTGATATGCAGGATATGAGATACAACCCCCAGCTTGACAACCGCTCCAATAAAAGACCTACTAGTTTAATCTTAGTCCTAGTAGGCATTCTGTGTCTGTTGATGGTTATCCGTAATACGTGGGCATTTTTCTTTCCATTTTAGTATGTGCTTTATTAGAGTTTACACAATCTGTTTTAAGATCTTTCAAACTCTCTGCCTTTCTTTTTCCTATTATTTTTTTTCTTTCTAGGCTTACAGTCTGGTGTTTTTTGTTTTTTTTTTCCCAACATCAGTTTTATTGTAGACAGATTGTTTCCTGTTTTTTATCTTTCATGCTTTTCTTTTTGAGGTTGGATCTGGGTATATGTAGTCTAGGTTGGTTTTGAACTCTATATTCTTCTCCTTTAAATCCTCTTGATTTTGGAATTGGAACCATGAGCCATCCGAACAAGCTCCTTCCATTCTTAACCATCTTAAGTAGCTGACAGCCTCATTTATCAGTTTTTCACATTTTGAGTTCTGTGTCTGTATTTAACTGCAGACTGATTTTTTTCTTTTGTTGTTGATTTGGGGTCTCATTACATAGCTTCAACTACCCGACTGTCCTGGAATTCACTATACTGATTAGGAAGGTCTCTCAATCCCAGAGGCCTGCCTGCCACTGCCTCCTGAATGCTGAAATTAAAGGCATGTGCCACCACAGACAGACTGAAAATATTCAGGGAAAAAGTGTTTTTGTTGAGTGTGTACCATCTTTTTGTCTGGTCATTATTCCCTGAACAGTACATTGTAACAACTATGTAATAGTATTCCCATTGTATCAGACCTTGTAAGTAATCTAAAGATAATTTAAAGTGCACAAGAGATTGTGTGTATGGTTTTAATGTGCAGATTTTTGTATTGACTTGGAACCATTCCTCTTTGGATAGCAAATGTTGACTGTGTGAGAATTTGTTACCACTGGCTGGGGGGCCAGCCTCCAGACAGCTCAGGGCTCAAAGGGAAATCCACAGTGTGGGCACGCACTATGACTTTTTTATCTGTGAGGGTTAGGGGAAAAAGATACTCACACACTCTCTTTCTTCAGACCTTTTCTTTATTCTTTGATTCTCTATTCTTTATTTTCCTGGTGATTTTCCTTCTCTCATTCTTAATGTTTTCTTTCTAAGTCTATCTTTATTCTTGATGTTTTCCTTCTAACTCATTTTAACTCTCTCTAACTCTATCTCTATTCTTTCCCTTACAGCTTATATACCCCAGCAAAATCTTTCAGGCAATATAAAAATTACAGGGTGGTTACATTCTGTTTTTCAAGTGAATGATTACAATGAATACAAAACAAACAGTTAAAAACATGTTTTCCATATCCCTTACATGATTAAACATTTTATGTATTACAAGTGAAAAACAAATTATCCCAAGAACCCACATACATTCATACCCAAGTAACTTGTTATAGATTAACTGCGTAGGCAAGCAAGATGTTCTCAGTTAGGTCTTTTACTGGTGGGCTGTAGTTTTACAAAGAAAGGACCAATTGCTTTATTACTTATCTTGAAAGGTAATCTTATAAGGAATCTTAAACCTAAACTTTTATATATGAAAAAGAATCAGTCAGCTCTACTTTAAATCTTTGGTGTGCATACCCACTCATCAATAGTTTTTTGTTTGTTTGTTTGTTTTTGTTTTTGTTTTTTGAGACAGGGTTTCTCCGTGTAGTTTTGGTGCCTTTCCTGGAACTCACTCTGTAGACCAGGCTGGCCTCAGACTCACAGAGATCCACCTGCCTCTGCCTCCCAAGTGCTGTGATTAAAGGCCATCAATAGTTTCTTATATCAGGAGATTGGGGGCAAAAATGCACACAAGTAATTAGTCATCACCTTTGATCACCAACCAAACCTAGCAAGGAAAATACATCAGCTAGTGACAATTGGGCTGCTTTGTATTTTTTACCTTAACCTAATGAATCTATAACTCAGCTATGTGTCCTTGTGAACTTGAGATTGTTTTCTGGGGTTATTTTTCTTAATGCTATTATCAAAACATCTGATCTAACCTGAAGTTATTTTAAGGCTTTGTTTTAGCTAATGATGCACACCGAAATCTGTGACTGCATTATTCAGCAGTAAGAGAATTAGAGCCAGCCTGGCTCCTGGGGACTCAATTGTTTTCCTAAATCATTAACCTGAACTGCGATCTATGCAGCTTCTTAGGTAAAACTTGTAGGCCCTAGCTGTATAACATTTCCTTGTATTTAATTTTTATTCATCAAAACTCTGTATAAGCTATTATTGTTATTAATTAGACAGTATAGCTTAGGGAGGGATCATCTTCATAACAATCCACAGATAAAAATGCCCAGTAGAACGTTATGTTTCCATGCCTGTCCAAGATTGACCCATCAGGGAGTTTCCTCCTGATGGGCTGACACCTTGAACTTCAATTGCTACTTGCTGCTCCTCTGACATGGCCACCAGCAGTTTTTCACTGGGGTAGATGACCTAGCTAGTTTGATCCCATCTTTATGCAGCATGCATAAACAGGGTATGCTCATGTACAGCTCCACTACCCAGAGATAGAGGCAAGAAAGCTACAAATTCAAGGACATCCTTGGCTACATAGGGTGTTCAAGGCTAGCTTGTAATACATCAGACCACATGTATAAATAAATAAGTAAATTTAAAAAGTAAAGATGCTCGCTAAGGGAATGAAAGAATGAAGGCATTCCCTTCTGGGAGTCATTGGGGCCTGGAATTATGATGAAAAAGAAATGAAGGAAAAGAAGATCTTTTCATTTATTTGAGTAGATGCCTTCATTTCACAAGACTACTTGGTCAAATAGTTTTCATTCTTCTTTTGTAGTATTTAGTACCCTGGTGTGATTGACACCCGTTTTCTTTCTTCTAGATAAAAATCAGAAGACTTCAAAGACGTATTAAAACAGTATTATCATCTCAAGGAAATTGTTTGGAACCAAACACGTTACCCAATAATACAGTCTGTGAGGTTCGTATAAATACACACAAGTTTTAATCTGCTTGGCTTGTTGGATGTGAATATACTTCCAAACAAGGACAGAAAGCTTAGATAACAATGTTGGGTTCTTGTTTTTTAAAGTTAAATGTGAAAAGTACAGAAGTGGCACTGAAGGAGGGATTGTTACGAAAAGGAACCAGGACTTGATGATTGGGGAAATTCTCAGCATATCCAGAATACAGCTCTAAAATTAAGTTTGTGGTCAGAAAGACAGTTCTGGGGTACAAGGATACATATAGCTACCACCTTTTGCAAGTCTTTGGAAGGACCAAAAAGTCATGCCATTTGCCACATTACTCCCTTAATGGGTACTCTACTTAGGCTTAGTATGTACAAACAGGCTTCTTCAGAGCTGTAGTTTCAATAACAATTTACTTTTATGGCTTTTGTGTGCTCTTTTGCTTGGCTTCATTCTTTGGGCTCCTCATGGTTACCTGTTGGTCCCTGCAGGTACTGCCTAAATCCCCACTGCTGTTGATCTGTGCTCTTAGTCACAGAGTGCATTGAGCCTGCTGGTTCTCTCTGGTGTAGAGCTGAGTACTGTTGCTAGTCTATGCCCTGCTGCTGGCGTACATGTGGGAAGAGGGCAAAATTGCCCTTGAAGTAGATTTGGCTGGCTACTCTTCTGGGATGCAGTTCTGGGGATTGGTCCTTGGTTAGGCTCTGCCTTCCTATTGTTGCTGCAGCCATTTAGACTTCCTCTGCCCCTCAGTGTTCACCCAGCTGTTACTGTGGTTTATGAAATGGAACCTTTGATTCTTCTAGTATTGGGATTGAATCACCACCAACCACTGCTTTATATTTGGAATGATTGATGGAGAGATGTCTGTTTTCGTTATAATCTAGTATGATGTATAGCATATACTTCACTGTCATGAAGTCTCTAACCAGTCTCCCTTCATTAAATTTTTTAGTTGCTTTATGATTACCCATTGAATTATTATTTACATGCCTGTAATGTTGTAGATAAGAGTGGAGGAGAGAGAGAAAGTGAATCTATGTTACCTTGTCCTGTAAGTGAATGGACACTGTTCCTCTTTGCTTTCCAAGGGTACGTGAGTGTATTCACATATAAAATCAATTTACTTAGTATAATAGCACTTCAGAGTTCTGCCTTAGTGTGTCTGCCTTATTTTTCATGCTGCCCCATGGAGCCCAAGGTTTAAATACATTAACAACTGGAAGTTAAAAATCACTCTTTTATTTTAGTTTTTAAAACTTAGACTACTAGAAATTAGATGATGTCTAAGTATCTCAGTATTTGTTTGTCCTGTTTTCACAGTCTAGGTTTGTAATGTCATTGTTAATTTAATTGACTCATTTTGGCAGAGAAATCACCTTCATGGTCATCAGCCATTGAAGTACAAAACATTTAATATTGCAGTCTGAGAGACCAACTCCCAGAACTGCTCTAGGGTTGTAAAAAGAATGCCTTCAGAGTAGCAGGAATTAGAAATAGTTCTTATTTATCTGAGGGAATAAGACTCAAACACATACTGATGATTGTTTTCTTTATTTTTCTCAAGCTTCTCTCTCTTTCCTCTTGTTCTGCCTCCCCCTTCAAACATCCCATGGAAACCAATAAAAAGTTACATCTGAGGGGAGTGAGTAACCATGGCAACGCTCAGCTGCAAGGTTCAGGCTGTAACCTGAGTCCGGGGGCACAGTGCCCAGTGAGACAAACTGCTGAGGAATTTTTGCAGGGAGTAGCCGCTGGTCTGTGTTATCAACCAGAACTGGGCATAGTAATTAGATTGCTTTGTGTCTAAAAACCTTGATTCAACAGATCAGACACCTGGGAATTTGTCCTTGTGTATTATCTGTGAAGGTCTAACTTAACACCATTCACAGAAACATAGTTTGAGTTTGCTCTGAGACCTAAAATCAGCTAATTGTATGTAACTTGTTTTAGAACTGAGAAGAAATTGCTGTCTTCTTTATGTCAGTCTGAGTTAATGATATAAAACAGGCTTAAGTGTTTTACAGTCCTTGTAGAGCTAATTATGAAGCATATCCTAGTATATTTCTGTTCATCAAAATTATACAGCTTAAGAAGAAATTATCTTTCTGACCATCCACAGATGTATGTGCCCCAAAAGTACAAAACACCACCAATGGGCTATGGGAAGAACCCCACAGCTGTTTTTAGGGAAGAAATGTAGTGGCACATGAGAAAATTACAGACAGAAGCAACCAGTTTTCAGAGTCTGTGGTCCTGTAAGCCTTGCTTGAATGGGGTTCCTCCGTTAGAGAATTATTCATCTGGTGGGTTGATACCTGAACTATCCATTGTCATCTGCTGTATATTCTTGTGGCCTCTGGTAAAGCCATTGCTACCACCAGCTCTCAGCAATTTAATATTTTAACTTACATATATAAGACTCTTCCATGTGAAATTTTACCTTCCACTCACCTTTTTTCTCATTCATTTAACAGGTTACAGATTCAGAGGCAATGAATTCGAGTGTGACCCAAGAGTCAGTTAAAAGCCGAAGTAAAAGAATGCCTTCTGTGAATCCTGATCGTTTTAACTCTTCAGAAAAAGCAAGTAGAAGGGTTAATTTTTCATCAGCTTGTGTTGAGTTTGTTTCTGAAAGGTAGGCACTTCTATGAAAACACATAAATTTACTTATCTTAATATATGTTTATAGTTATATTAGTTAAACATAAGGTAGCTTAAAACTTCATCGTCACATCCGCAGTCTGAAGGAATTCCCTTGGTTCTCTGAGCTTCTGTTGTTGTTTGAACAGCACTCAGGTTTTGAATTGTCATGTGTCAGGTTTTGTTGTGCTGCTTCCAACCTTTGTCATAGTGACTAGTGGATCACTTTTGGTGCCCTCCGTTTTGAAAGTGTTATCTTGATAACATCCACCTGGGATGAACTTACTTGTCTAATTGTATCATAAAGCACTGCTCTGTAGCCTTGAGGGATTGGGTTTGGTTAGGAAGAGAGGTTTTAGAAGCAAAGAAGCTTGCTTGGCTTAGATCAGTGCTGTTTCAAGGGGTGTAGTGGAAAATGCTGATAAAGTCTTTCTGTTTTTATGACTTTGAGACAGGGTCTGTGTTACCCTGGCTGGTTTGGGTATTTGGGACATAACATACAGTTTTAGCCCTGCATTTTCATCCTTTTAATTTCATGTGTATGTTTGTGTGTCTGTGTGTAATTATGTGCACATAAATGCAGCTCAGCTGAGTGTCAGATCTCATCTGAGCTGGAGTTCTAAGTAGTTGTGAGCTACCCAACATGGGTGTTAGAAACCAAACTCAGGTTCTTCATCTCTGAGCCATCTCTCCAGCCCCTGTTTTTAAGATACATTTTTATTATTTCTAATTATGTATAGAGGCCTGCATTTTGGTGTCAAGTCGGGAATCTATTAAGAAGGCATTTAGTTGATGAAGGCAGGAGTCATCAATCAGTGAGTCTGCTGCTACCACTTGTTGACGGCTTTGTTCTGAAATCCCTGAAGTGACAAGAGAGGAAAGCAGGTGCTGATGATGCAAAGTAAAGAAGCCGAGGCTTTGCGGTACCCTCACTTCACAGGCAACTGTGTCCACTTACCAGTGGATCCTGTCTCATGCAGACACTCACTTTATGTACGGAAACAACCTGTAGTTTATGGAGCTGTTTTTGGCAGTTAAGCATCCTTTCCAAAATGTACAGATAGTGTAATACACATGCAGCTTGGCCATGATGGCTTTTATGTTTCGTTGTTTGTTTTTTGAGACAGCTCTCTATAGGCTGGCTAGCCTGGAACTTGCTTATGTAAATCAAGCTAGCTTCAAAATCAGAGACCCTCTTGCCTCTGCCTCTGGAGTACTAGGACTAAAGGCATGTGCCACTATACCTCACCTTAGAAGATGAGTTTTATAAAACATTTAAGGAAGAAATAATACAAACATTAAGTAAACTCTTGCCAGAGTATGAAAAAAAAGAAGCTTATTAAATTCATTTTATGAGAAATGAACCTTGATGCTAAAAATCAATATTAAAATATTGTATAAATGAAAAATTACCCACAAAATAGACTTATGTATCTTAAACAAAATTCTAATAGGTCAAATAGGACAGTCTATAAAAGTTGATTGTATCTTAGTACTGGCTAAACCTTTGGGTCAGTGCAGCTCGAGTTAACCTTCTAATGAGAGACCCCGAGCCAGGATCCCTCAACTATAATACTCTTCTGTACCCACAGAAATAAGGATATGTTTTTTGTTTTGTTTTGTTTTGTTTAAAGGTCATTGCAGTCTTAGATACATTGTTATATAGCTTTAGATGAGTTCGATGAGTAATACAGCACTCAAGCATCAGGAATTGAGCAGAATGAAGTTTATCTATAGTCCTTATAAGACACACCTAATCTTTTATTTCCCCCTATTTTTGTGACACACTGTAGCTGGAGTTTTCTCTCCGAGTTCCACCAAGCCCTGTCAGTCCGACAGCCCACTTATAATAAACACACAGACACTTATATTATTTAAACTGTTTGGCCTAATGGCTCAGGCTTCTAGCTATCTAGTTCTTACATCTTAAATTAACCCATTTCTATAAATCTATACCTTGCCACGTGGCTCGTGGCTTACTGGCATCTTCACATGCTGCTTGTCATGGCTGCGGCTGGCAGTGTCTCTCTGACTCAGCCTTCCACTTCCCAGAATTCTCCCCTCTCCTTGTCCCGCCTATACTTCCTGCCTTGCCACTGGCCAATCAGTGTTTTATTTATACAGAACAATAAGTTTCACATAAACTCCCAAGTGTATCCTGTAGCATGTGCGCTTGAGATGTTTGATTGTGATTTTGGTCTATATGTCAGTACAGTGTGATTTCTCAGCACTTTCAGCTTGTTTCTTAGCATTCCTGCATGGCAAGGACAGTGCCTATCTTATAATGTCTTTCAAATTTATACACTTACACCTCTTTAGTGAGTTTCTTTTCTGAAATTCTTAACAAGGAAAATTATAACTATAACTATCTAATCTTTAACTATAACTACTCTAACGTTTAACTATAACTATATCTAATCTTCAACTCCCTCAGAGACCTAAGAAGGAAATAATATTACCTAATAAAACAGGAAGTGCAAACAAGCAACTTCCAAAAAAATGTGAGTTGATAGAAACAGCCAGCTGTCTGTACAGTCACCCAAGGTTTCTCCGCAGCACTGGGGCATCATCTTCAGCCTATAGGCTTAGCGTATCTGACAGACTCATTTGTGAAGTAGGATGTACACAAGGCCAACAGTTCGACCTCACATTTGGTGAGAGCAGTCCATGTACCAGAAACACCTGAATTCCACTAGTGTCATGTCATGATTCAGGATTTTAAATTCTAGAAATTGTTGATGTTTTTTTAATTCAGCTGTCCATTCTTCTTGGCTCATGTGTGTAGCTTCATCTCGGCATCCTGTTCTTCTCCGCATCCCATTCCTCTCCAGCTTGTGGGTGGCTTCAACTCTTTTATTAAATGCCAGTCTACCATTGGGAAGTTATACTCCGTCAGCTCAGTTATTCTTTCAAGAATAACTGTTTCAGCTGCTGTTCCACTGCACATCAGAAGCCATCAGTCCACTGCCTGTTCAGCTGCCTTCGAAGAAAAGGGCACTGTACCTTTTCCGGATTACAAAGGCCACTTCAGGGATGGTGCTATATTGTCCTGGCCTCAGAAGATGCCTTTTGTTAAAGCCACAACCACACTTGTCTTGGCAAGAATCGGTAGTTCTTTGTTTCATGTCCTGTCTGTCCGTTTGTCAGCAGTCGATTCAAGGATACTTTGTTGTCCAGTGGCTAACTTTGCCACAATGAAAGTTAACTCCATATGTAGTCTTTTCAATGCCCATATTCTCTCTGAAGTAGATTGGTACTGCCAGGAGCCAACATGTCCCATAGTCATAAAATAAAATAAAAAATTTCTAAGTTATTAAAACATTTTAAATGCCATGTTCTGTAGATCTCTGAAGGGTTTGAAGATGACCTGTCTATCTAAAATATATTTCTTGATCTTGAAAACATACCTAATATGACTACAAGTTTGATTATAATATCTAACTACTAACTTTCATTTCTTTATATCCTAATAGTTGGTAATAATAACATTCAAGGATTAGCAAATTGCATTACATTGTTAAATGAATGGTATAAGTACAATATTTTGAACAAGATTAGAAATATATGTATGGCATTTTCTAACAATATCAATCTCAATATATATAATTTGTATACAATATACAAAAATCTAATCCAATGTAAAATATTTAAAACTAGTAATTGTCTTTTAAAAGTAAATTCAATTATCTTTTTATCTATATCATACCTATATCTTCTCTTTATTTTTCCGCGTAGATTCAATAATCTGCCCTCTATTTTATCATTTCTATATATTTTTTTCATTTAATTAATTAATTAATTAATTAATTAAAAAGCAAGAACCACTTATTTATCTATCTATTTATTTATTTAAAAGCAAGAACCTTAAGTCTAATTTTCTTTGCTTAGCCCTTTTCCTAACCCTTAACAACAACTTGTAACCAAGCCTCCTAAACAATGAAAATTATCCCAGACCCAAAATCCATTAAAAGACCAAAAAAACACCCACCCCACATACCACCTCTTTGGGAATGTGGGTGTTGTGTTCTTAAAATTGCTTCCTGCTGGATATGGGCGAAGGTGTCTTTATTCTGAAAAGAAAAATTTTGGGTTAATTGTCAAATTCTAGGAAAGGTAGCTATATCCTTTGTTGCCCAGTCTGTGCATAATGCCAAAGTTCACGGCTTATTTCAAGTTCTTATTCAAGTAGTCTGTGAAACTGGATCATCTCAGGTAGCTATCTCAAAATTGCTCTGAGCAGTTTGTAGTCCAAAGCTGATCTTTAGATGATGTTTGTCAGCTTAGTGGTATTATTATTGTCCACATGGAATTGTTGTTGTTGTGGGGTCCCATCTTCTTCCTAGAGACTTCAAATTGATCTTAGTTCTAGCCGTGATTTCCTGCAGAAAACTGATAGAGATTCAAACACAAAGACATGTATAGGCAGCTAATTGAAGCCTTTTTTCTAGAATTAGTTAGTACTCTATATGACCATTAATATCTTAACAAAGTTTAAAATACATATTATATATATAAATCTTGTAAATTTTGATATAAAATTCATACTTTAAGAAAAGTTTAAAGAATCAGAATAGAATCAAAGAATTGAGATTAGTAGCAATAGAATAGTCTCTTAAATTTTTGTTGTTGTTGTTGTGGTTTTGTTTTGTTTTTCCTGTCCCATATCAGAAGATGGCTCTTTCTTCTGGCATGATACAGGGAGTTTGCATTTTCCTTTTAACAACCTGCTTGGGTTTAAAGAAGGAGAGAGCCATTCTCCAACTCCAAAGCCAGCTTTAAATTTTAATTGAACTGAGACTACAAGAAGACCAATAGTGTTAAATGTCTTTAGAGAAGAGCAGAAACAAACATTTAGGAAGACTTATGAAATTTTATAGATGATATACCAATAGGACATTTTACTCTTTTTCTTGGGACATTTTTTCTAGATGATTCGTCCTTTTTCTTCAGATGTCTCATTTGTCCAGTGTTCTTCAGATTCCTTAGCCTTCATTC